GGCGGGACTAGAGTCCATATCCGCTACGAAATTAAGTGCCTTCCGTCGAGCGCGGAGTGCGGGGAACAAATCTAGTCCTGAGATCGACAGGGTTCGGCTTCAATAGTTGCATTGACGACCGAAGTTTGTCCATCGCAGTGACTGGCGGCGTGCCTGTTGTCCCGAAACAAGCCTGCCTCGTGTGCAACCATCTCTGCCACCTCACGCAGGCAAATGAGCCCGCGGGATTGTTGCAGTGAGGTGAGAGATGTCGGAAATCTACCCTTAGGCCTTGGTCACTGGTGGACAGTGCTGAAGATTCCGATCAGGACCCAAAGATGCGACCTCTGAAGACTGAGGGCGCCTGGCTCAGCTCCCCTGCTTGTGACTGATCATTTTTGCTCCAGAAGAAGCAACCCGAGGAGGAGATGGAGATCCGGAAATTGGCGCAGCACTGACTGGGGACGAAGGTTTACCAGGGCCGCCGGGGTCTCTGGGAGGACTGGGCAGCGATACTGTCAAGTACAGAGTTCAACGCTGGCCTGGCGCCGCAGATAAGCCCAATCCTAGCCGATCACTAGGTGGTGTTTGTCGTCAACCGCGGTTTTGTGAGGGAAGACGGATTATTGTTCCATGGGATGCGACCGTTACGCCCTGGCAAATCGAAATGACATCTGAACAATGGCGATGGATTGACAACCGTGCCGATTACGGCTTAGGTTGTAATGGCCGGAGTGACTAGCAGAGGCGTGCTAAGTGCCGTTAAGTCGCAATGTTATCATAAAAGTCCCAGTAAGTTTCGTCAGTTCCTGCAACTTCATTTTGAGGCCCGCAGCATGGCCGTCGATCTATCGCAGGACCTCGTAAGCTTCTTCTCGCCCAATTTGAGCCGCAAGAACTTGAGTTACTTGCGCTGGGTTCTGCGCATCACTTGAAGATCCGGCACCAGAGTACCCAAGATGTGTTTCTGACAGGCTACATGGCCCTTCTGGGGATGATCAGAGTCGCGTCCAATGACAGGTAAAGGCTGGTTCCGATGCCACGGTGCCAGACCGTCCAGAGTAAAGTGCAGGCCCGCATATCATACCACGCCGCTGTCAGTTCTCAGAATCTATGAGTTGAGTGCAGAGGTTTTGTTCTGGAACCTTGAGACAGCGGCCTTTGAAGAACTCCACAAACTCTGGATCCTTTGGTTAGTCAAGAATGTTCAGGGCTGTCCCGGCTTGCCTTGGAAGAATCGGGGGCTCGGTTGGCGGTGTGTGAGCTCGGTCATCATCCAAGCTTGGTTCCTCTGCTGGGTCTCCGCATTTTGATCAGGCCATTACCGTCACACCGAGCCCTAAAGATTCACCTAGGTCGTCATGACCGGTCAAGACGGCAAATGATTTCCTAGATTGTCAGTAGCGTCTGGCGTACGCATCCAGGATGTGGTCGGGATTGCCAATGTACTTGTGCGGTACTGAGGCTTCGTCGTTGGAACTGGCTTTGCAACGTTGGTATTTTGGCAGCTGGCCTTGCGTCGATCATCCCGAGGTGCATTTGGGGTTTGCATGGCGTCTAAATCTCGGAGAGAGACCGCCACTCGCGGAAAGGTCACCGCCGCAGCGGGAGCGGAGCGTCTCGTACCTCAGAATAGCACCTCGATATTTGGCTGGTCCTTGACGGTGTCCGCAATCAAATGAAAAAAAGCCTTCAGTCAGGAACCGTACGGTCCGTACCAAGCCGCGCAGCCACGTGGAGCTTGCACATCCCTTCGAAAAGTTTTTGCTCCGAAGCTAGAAAGCCGGCATCCGGACACCTCCGCAAGGAATTCCATGTTTCCATCACATCTCAGCTTCCGCTCATGCGGGCATCGGAGCGTCCAATGGAATGATTCGTTGAGCCTACGCAGTAGGTAGACGCGGAGAAAGGATGCTCGGATTCGGCGCCGAATGCTGTAGAAGGTTGGAACGCCGTTCGATCCCCAGAGGACTAGGGCCAAGTCGTCGCTAAGTAAGAAGATGAAACTGGCGGTCGTCATAATGAGATGGCTTCTAGAAGCCAGCCACTTTTAGTCTCCGTGGTGGGAAGTGGCTGCCCACAAGGATTGGCGAACTACCATCCAGTCGGTGTACCTGGAGCTGAATAATAATAAATTCCTGCGCTGGAGAATCGCCTGTCGTGCTGCATCCATAAGCGTTTGGCTGCTACCATTCCACCCTCCAGCATCGCAGCGAGACTGACAGTGCGCCGCGATCTCATCCCTCTGCTGGCGATTTCATGGTACTTGATGGTTATGATGAATGTGATGGCTCATATTTGCGACCAGAGCCATGCAATTCCAGAGCACTTGGCTGTCACGATTCGTGATGCTTTCCTGACGGTAATTGCACGCGACTGAAACCCGCTCGTCGCCCTAGGCGAAAGGCACCTGGAGTTGTCTTGGCATATCGCAGAATTTCCCGTTGAGCAGAAGAAATGGCTGGACTCGTAACGCGAGATGGCTTGAAGATTCGGCGACTCGCCGATAATCAGCTCGCTAGTTCGCCGACGAGCCATGACTCTGGGAAGCTACCGGCCCCCTCGCCAGGGAAGAAAGCCCCTTTCTCAGCAATTGCCGTGCTTCCAAATCTAGCCATGACTCCGCGAGGCGCAAGGCACCGATATCGTGGGCAACAGTGAATGTACCGTTGCATTGTTAGTCACGTGATGAAAACGACACCGAAACTGTGTAACCGGCCCATGCAAATCGCGTGGCCCCCAAGGATGAATCAAACCTGAGAGCAGGCCTGATGCCTGACATATCGCGAACGAGGGTGGACAATGCCCTCAACGGCCGAGGGGTTTTGTGTGCGCGAGGACTGTCGAGCGGTCAATGCGAGTTGCACATGGTTAGACAAACTTTCGTCGCAAGGTCGTCGAATGTTGATCTCGATGCCCAACTACGACGGCGTCCCCGACTTCTGTGTCGGGCGACGGCACAATGCCTTGTTCTGATAGTGAACCCCTAGATTTTCTCCGCCATTGTTAGTGTCGCCGCCAAACACAAATTTTTGTCTTTGGGCACACACCACCGGGCGCCGTATCGAGCAAAAGGGGCTTCGTTGCACCGTCTGGCCGTACACTATGGCGCAAGCTCTGTTGAGAAGTGTAGTGCACGGCGTCAAATGTTGCAAGAATGAGTTGCTCTTGTTCTCCCCCCCCTGGCGCAGAACTTGGGGTCTGATGCATCGCCCAGCCCTTCTGAAGATTGAGCCAGGGGCTTTTCCGATAGAGCCAGATCTTGAGTCCTACGCTGGGTCGGCATGCCGTAGAATCTTTGTTCCGAGTTGGAATCAATATTGCCATCATCACACATTTTCGCGGTCAAATCCGTCATTGAATGGCGCTTGCAGGCGAGAACGTCTGAATTTTTTTTTTTTTGCCGGCTGCGAATGATTGTGAAGTACTCACAGGATCAGAGGTTGTCCTTCAGAAAGAACACTGTGACAAGGCGACTGACTGGTTATACCGGCAGTGATAGAAACGAACGGGCCGTGTGCCGAATGAAACCCCCACCACGGCCGCCGGACTCCTATATCCACCTCCCGGGCCGGATAGCTGTAACCAAACAACTACCGGACGAAGAAAGAAACGCTCAGGCATAGCACTGCCAGGTCTCTAACGTTTGCCCTCACGGGATATCAACAGTTGGTCAACTTTGGTGTGACTATCGGCAGGCCATGTTTTGGAAACTGTGCAAAGCTAGGAGTCGACGAATGCGACAAACAGCGGGTTCGAGGGGCTGTGACTTGCATGGAGGCTCCAACTATACCACTTTCGACTCAAAGACGGTCACGCCTCCATGGACCGTACTGGCAAGAGGCTTCACGAATGGATTGACGAGAAATCAGCGTCTCCGCTTATGTCGGAGGCGGACTTCGTCGCCGAAATGACATCTTCAAGAACGGAAGCGAACGTGCGATATGCAAACGAATTTGCCTGTCCAATGGTCTTGGTACTGAAAACTTGCTCGTCGGAAATAAGGTGCCACAGCTAGGTCGTGAATATCTGATGCGTCGTGGTTCGGTTGGATTGCCTAATATAGATGTCAGCACGTCGGTCACCATTGAAACCTGCCGGACTCGGGAAAGAAGAGGTTCTCGAAGTCTCTCGAAGTGTCCCGAAGTTCATAAGTGTGCACTAAGAAGCGCTCCAAAAAGCTGATAATGAAGGCTGTGTAATTGATGTTTATTTTTGTGCCAGCGCGTATATCCGATGTCAACTGTCTCGACACATTACTTTTCGACGACATGATGTCATCTTTATGTGAGTGATGTGTTCAACGCAAGAGAGTTGTCTCTATCCGTCCTTTTTCGCCTACTTACTCTGATGACTGGATGGAATTACCTGGGAGCGGCTAGCGACAGATCAATCTCTCTTTGGCTAACAGGTAGACGAGGTGGGGATGAGATTGTTGGTTGGAGTCGGCTGCAAACAAGACCCCCGATCCGACTCGAGTCTCATGTCATTCGTGCGACAGGAACCCCTCAAGATGGTCTGCAGGGAATCTGAGGGGGCCTGGTTCCATCTGTTCTCATGCCGTTATCTTTTTCAAATGCGGCGGTGAGGTGCTGATAAGCAACTTCACAAGTTTGACGAAAGAACGCAGGATTGATCTTCCATTTCCAGACGGGAAACCATTGCTCACGCCAGCGAGGGGCCTTGCTGCTCGTGTTTGAATAAGACTGGTCAGGCATTCATAAGAACCTTGTATGTCGAGCTCCATTGGCTGATATGGGTTGTTTGCTTTTCGCATTAGCCAACAGCAAACACGGCCCTGGTTTGTGGGCATGGTGTTGCAGTACAAATGAGTACGTGATGACGGGACATCTGTAACCGAGCCTTGCTCTTTGTCCCTCCATTGCTTAGCCCATTCTTTTTCCGGGTTATTGGCATTTGTTTAGCAGGTGTTCAAGACCTGCTATAATGAACGAATGCATGGGTGAGTGGCGTGATGTGTTGGAGCCAACAATTCGGTTAAGCCGAGATGCGGCGGAACCTCAGGCGTCTTCGAGATCGGTCATTTTGCGCCTCTTCTGGGGCCTTTTCCAGGACCCAAGGTCGGTGAATCCAACTGACACGGGTGGACGAACGGAACTGTCGCTCACAGAATGGACTAGGCCATTGGCAGCCATAGGGTGTGCTTCTGGTGCTGGCTCGGCGTCTGAGGAAATGTCAAGGCCTTCAGTGAACACCATGTCTCCCTTAGTTCCCAAAATCTCTCTGCCGGCCTCCTCAAGGAGTATGCCAAAAGCGAGCAAGGCAGTTTCATCCATGCTTCGCTCATCAATGTTCCGTGTCCCAACTTGGAAGTCTGCGCTGCGCTTCTGGTCGAAATAGAAATGGCTGGCATAGGAGTGCACGGCTTTGACAAGATCACTATCCGGCAAGGACTCGCGGCCACCATCGGGTAGATTTCGCTCATGCGCCATGTAGACGTCAAACTCAGCAAATCGCTCGGGTGCAGATTTGCGGCGGAACAGGACCTCTTCCGGGGCTAGGGTGGTGGAGCGGACGGAATGTCTGTTGGATCTGCTGGGCCTGGCCGGCCTGGGTGCCATTGTTGATGTCTTCTCAATGCTGACAGCGGAGCTCAAGTTTGTCTCATAGCTGATTCTTCCTGGAAAGTCGTTAATACCCTTTTGGGGGGGGGGGGGGGGGGGG